CCCTGCCCTCTGTGCCAGGTGCACCTGTGACCCCGAGCCATGTCCTGCTGCCAGCCCTGCAACCCTTGCTGCCAGCCCTGCGGCCCCTGCCCGCTGGCCAACAGCTGCAATGAGTGCTGTGTCAGGCAGTGCCAGGACTCCCACGTCGTCATTGAACCATCACCTGTGGTGGTGACCCTGCCTGGCCCCATCCTCAGCTCCTTCCCACAGAACACCGTGGTGGGATCCTCTACCTCTGCTGCTGTTGGCAGCATCCTCAGCAGTGGTGGAGTGCCCATCAGCTCTGGGGGCTTTGACCTCTCCTGCATCACCAACTGCTATGGTGGCAGCAGATGTCGTCCCTGCTAAATCTGCTGGCAGTGTCCTTGGGCAAGAACCTCCACGATCTCAGGACCTGGTTCTGGGCAGGAGATAGAGCTTTGGGACATTGTAACTAGAGTTTCAAACCCCTGTTCCCTTCTTCTCTCTCTTCTTTATCTTTCTTTTGCTGTCCATGTCTCCTCAAGCCAGTCCAGTGGAGCCAGACCATATGTGCATGGTTCTCCCCTCCCTCTGCATGCCCAGCTGAGGGACACCCCACTACATCTTAGTGGCTCCTCGTGGCCTCTCTGAGCCATTCTGAGTATTTTTTTCTCTACCCTTAATAAAGCTGTTTTGCATCCATATATGGGTCTCTGAGTTCTCCTTCATTCTGTAACAACTATTCCAGCATCCTCTAGAAAAATAGCTGGAGAAAGCAATTGGTAGGATTCCATTTAGTGGATTTTCCTTTGTGCCTTTTCCCTTGGCACTGAAAAGGTCATCCCTGACTTCTCGGTAGCCATAGGCCTTCAGGGGGATTGGCTCCAAAGGGTGGCAGGAATAGGGAGGGAAAAGCACTTCCTGTGACCAGCCCGCAACCTCATCTCTTCCTTCTCCACCACTCCCTTACTTGGCCTAGGTTCCATGGCATGCAAATAGATGCACAGGCAGATGAGATGCACTCCCTCAGCACAGGCAGGCTAAGCTGCTGTCCAGACATGCAGGGCTGAAACAAATCACAAGTTGAGATTCGTATCAGCCATACTCAGGGTACACAGTAGTAAATGACTTTTGGTTGACTTTGTGCAAATGACTTAGGGCTTCAATATAAGTTCACATTTCTTCCTCTTATGGATAGATGTTATCTCAACATCATCTTCCCTTTTCACCAAACCATTGCCCAAGAGTATCAAGTAAAGGATGACAGACCCTGGTGAACAAATGGTCTGCCAGAGACAGCCCACAGGTCATGGAGTCATAGAATGGTTTGGGTTATAATGGATCATGTAGATCATCTAATCCCACCCATGTGCCAAAATCAAGGTGCCTTTATCTAGATCAGGATGTTCCAAGCCACATAAGTGAGAGACTGGAAGGATTGCTGGCTTGAAATATTTCACGTGATTTTGCATAGAGGAAGGGGCACCTTGGGCTCTGCCTGGATGAGGTGATATCCTACTCCATACTCCCCATTCTCTGGACCTGTATCCCAACCCTTCAATGGCTACCAATCCCTGGAAAACCAGAGGCAATGCTCCACACCCTATCCCTGCACCCCAGTCTAGCCCCAGAGTGGCCAGATGGCTGGAAGTCCCACCAGGACCCAGAAAAGTTAAAGGGTATTTAACATGAGACACAAGGCAAGCTCATGTCTTGACCATACATGTTCTTGGAATTTTTATAAACTGAACACCATTGGAACCAGAAATGGTAGCTGTGTTTGTTCTTTTCTATTCCTTCTCTGTTTTTCTCTCTTTCCCCTTCTTCTTCTAATTCCCTTCTCAGAATTGGAACTTAAAATAAGATGCTCTTAGAGTCTGTTAAATTAAATGGATTAAATTAATGCTTTGAGAAGTGTTTTGTGTTGATTGGATGCTGCTTGAAACCTTTTGTCAAAGTTCTTTGATTTTCTAAAGTTGCCAGTAAAGGGTTTTTTGGTTTTCGTGACCTCTTGAGAGTATCTTCTTGGTGTTTCTCCCATATGTCTAACTCAGAGTACATGAAAAACCAGAGCCCTTTTAAGTGTCACACTGAATGAGATTTTGGGGGCCTTACATTTTAATTGGCACAGCGAGCAGGGTACTCTCAAGGTGATGAAGAGGTATTTTATACAGAGAACTGCTCATTGCATATGAATAAAGAATAAAGAATAAAGGAAAAATTAATTTTTGCTTGAAACCATTATTCTCCAGCAAAAAGATCATAGAATCCTGGGTAAAAACATCTGACCTGTTCTCCACTGACAGAATTGCTAAAAGGTTGTGAACCTTGTTCAGCCTCATAAAGGGGTGTTATAGATGGGTAATGAGATGGTTGGCTCTTGCAATTAAGGGATGAATATTATGTGTTTGTTAAGAACAGTTTTATTGATGCATAGCTATGTTATTGTGATTTGTTCTCCCCATAATCCTCTTTCCCCTCGCCCTTATATGGTTGCCACTGGATGGTCTTGGTAGTCAGGGCATTTGGGAGGTCCATTTAGTAGGAGGAAGGGCGTGACCTGACCTCCAACCGAGTTGCAAGAAAGTAATCTCCACCAGTGTGGTGAAGAAAGAGTTGATGGATAGACTTTGGGAGGGGCCAGGGTTGGCTGATACAACACCAGGCAAATAAAAGGGGGTGCAGCCATTTTGCAGTCACAAAGACTCCTAGCACTGTAGTTTCTCATTATTCAGTCTTCTGTTGTATTTTGTTATGGTTTACTAAACCTTTGAAATTTAAAAAAGTGAGAGTCGTTTCTCACAGAGGGATGTGAGCCAAGAAAAATTGGCAAAATTTGCAGTTAGTTGCAGCGAAAACTTGAGCTTTGGCAAAGTTTTTTTTGGGGAGGGAAAAACCCCAGCAAGGAAAAAGGTCTGCTATCCTTACTGGTGGAGGCTGAACTCAAAGAGAAATATGTTGTGGAGCAGCACCAGAAAGACCTGATAGAGTTGCAAATTGCCTTGGGGGCTGAAATAATAGCCTACCTCAGGGCAGATCAAGAATAGAACCCCAAAAGAAGCTAGCCCAAAACCTGAAAAACCAGTTAAACAAACTTGTCCGAAGCCAAAGAGCTTTGGAGTTGCAAATTAATACTGTTGTGTTAATTTGGGGGCGGGGAGTGGAGAATGAATTTTTCAGCCCTGAGGAAAAGGTAGACCTCCTAGAACACGATGTCACATTCCTCAGCCCTTGTGAGTTTAATGCATCAAAACCAAATCCTCCCTGCACCCTTATCTCCGGAAAAAAACTGAGGAGGCCGAGAGGGAGGCAAGACTCCTGGAGCCTGATACCACTTCACTCCCCAGATGCAGGGTTTGAGTCAGCAAAGCCAACCCTGACTTTCCTTCATCCCAAGCTCTGTCTGCTTTTAAAGACAAAATTCATTTATCAGGAGGCAGACTACACAATAATACTATCTCACTCTGCAACAGAAATGGTTAAGTTACAAGGGAAAATTTGAAATTGTCCCAAAGAAAATGAACAGAAAAAGTTTTGAAAAATTCACTGATGAAGGTTGTCTTGGGTTAAGGTAATTTAAAGAGCTGGGCACTCTAAAATGAGTAATCTTCTCTTAATCAAAATCAATTCCTTTCCACCAATAAAGAACAAAATATGAGTAGATATAAGTGAAAAAAATAACATTTTTCTAATGAACTGAACAGCAAAAAATAACAGTAAATTACTGCTAGATTCAAAATTGCTGAACCTCACAAAACCCATGGGAAAAAAGAGAGACATGGAATTCTGGAAATATCCTTCCCAAGGTGGCTGAATGGCTTGAGGGACAAGGGAAAGATGGCATCACACCTCTTCCTTCCAAGATGGCAGGTGACCATGTGAAAAAAGGGACAAGATAATGGTAAACCCTACCAGGAAAGGCAAGAGGCTGTAGAGCACTTCTAGGGGCCCATGAAGACTTGCCAGCTCACATGGCATCTGCACTGCTGCTGCTTCCTCCTGCCGTTCATGGAGATGCTGCCATGAATGAGAAAGTTGCCATGAAAGAGAAAGAGTGTCTGTTTCTGTAATCTTCTTTCCTGGAGTGAGGGCTAATCCATCTTGATCAGCTTGCTGGAGCATTGCTGCCTGCCGTGACAGGCAGTACCTGTGGGATTCACCTCCAGGCAGCTCAAAACTGGTACCTGCAGTCTCTCTGAGATAAGGGAACAAAAACCAAAAGAGAACCCAAAAATGAAGAAGCCTCTGTCCAAGCAAGACCAAGAGCCCAGCCAGGCAGTAGCCAATAGGGGTGTTTGGTTCACAGGAACAGGGACTGCGGCTGCACAGCCTGAATATGGCAGACATTGATACCAGCTTATGATTCACCTCAGCCTGGCATTTCTGTAAGGCAGCCAGGCACTGCCAGGTGATGAAGGAGTGTATGGGGTGCATATCTCATCTGTCTTTGACCATGTGTACAGACCATGGACTGTAGACCAGGTGATGGAGGGGAGGAGAAGGCAGAGGTGAGGTTGTGGGCTGTCCCCAGGATTTTGTTTCCCATCTCTATTGCTGTGACACTTCAAAGCCAGGTTCTCCCTGAGGACTATTCTCTGTAGGCTTGCCCAGGGAGATTTGGACAGTTCCAAAAGAAAAGGTGTGAAGTAAAATTCACTGCAGGGAGTCCCAACACATTCTTTCTCCAACTTTTTCCTGGAATTGACTGAAAGAGTTGCCATGGAAAGAAGGAGGATTTGGAGGCCAGGTCTTGGTTGCAAAACAACTTTATTAAGTCTAAAGCAGAAAAGGAAGTGCCTCACACAGAGCACCAGGAAGGACCACTACAATGTAGTGCAGTTCCTGCAGGCTGTCTATCTGCCCACCCTAAAGATGGAGGAAGAGGAAGGGGAACAGTCTCTCCCATGTTGCTCTGGGGAGGCACAGATAGCAAAAGAAAGAGATAAAGAAGAGAGAGGAGAAGGGAACAGGGGTTTGAAACTCTAGTTACAATGTCCCAAAGCTCTATCTCCTGCCCAGAACCAGGTCCTGAGATCATGGAGGTTCTTGCCCAAGGACACTGCCAGCAGATTTAGCAGGGACGGCATCTGCTGCCACCATAGCAGTTGGTGATGCAGGAGAGGTCAAAGCCCCCGGAGCTGATGGGCACTCCACCACTGCTGAGGATGCTGCCAACAGCAGCAGAGGTGGAGGATCCCACCACGGTGTTCTGTGGGAAGGAGCTGAGGATGGGGCCAGGCAGGGTCACCACCACAGGTGATGGTTCAATGACGACGTGGGAGTCCTGGCACTGCCTGACACAGCACTCATTGCAGCTGTTGGCCAGCGGGCAGGGGCCGCAGGGCTGGCAGCAAGGGTTGCAGGGCTGGCAGCAGGACATGGCTCGGGGTCACAGATGCACCTGGCACAGAGGGCAGGGAGAAGCAGAAAGTGAGTTCACATGAGGAGCAGCACTGCACCCAAAGCCCCTGAAGCCGAGGCTCCTGCTGGCCCACATTGCACTACCCAGCTCAAAGCCCAGGAGCCATCTCAGCCAAGTCCCAGCCTCTCTCTGTCTGCACAAGACCTTCTCTCCCCTGTCCTCTCCCAGCACAAGCAGCTCCCAGTCCTGGGCTATGACAGCCCCTGTCAGCTGAGTCCTACAGCCAGGAAAGAGCTGCTCTTGAAGGAGCAGTACAAGGAGGAGGAAGAGGAGGAGAAGGGGCTTTGCACTCACCTGATTCCTGAGGAGAAGGAGGTGAGAGAAGTGGATGGGAGCGCAGAGACTTGGGCTGCCTTTTATAGCAGTCCTGCACTGCCTCAGGCCTAGCAGAAGCTTTGTGGAAGTCATAATTTTGTGACCAGCTCATGGGAAATGCAAACCATCCAAGCTAATAATGGCACTCTATCCTGGTTTCCTGTATTGCTGCCTTTTCATTTCCTGGCTTCTGCTGTATGATTTCCTATATGAAAAGCTAATTCTTTAATTGCTATGATGAGAAGGTCATTGATTTCTGAGGCAGAAAACGTCAGCACAGGCAAAATGCTCTGGTCAAGGACTGGCGGCATCCTTTGTGGGCAGGTGATGTTCACTTGGGTCATTTCTGTTTGGTTTGTTTGTGACAAAGTTGTCAGGAAATGGGCACCCTTCTTCTGCTTCTTGCTCACATGCCTAAGAACTGCAATGTCAGGGGACATGACAGAGATTTTGATGTTCTTTCCATCTTCCACTCTTCTCCTTCTTACCTCCTGTTCTCTATGTGTCCCCAGGCTGGTCTAGCTGGGATGTGTTGCCCTGTCTCCCTCAGCATGAGAGGCAGATAGACACCCTGCAGGAGCTCCACTGCACCTCAGTGGCTGCTCCTCGTTCCCTCTGTGAGCCACCTCCTTTTCTTCCTTAGAATCATCAAATTCTTTACGCATCCAAACTTAGGACTCTGAATCATCCTTTGTTCTGTGGCAACGCTTCCTTTCTGAACAGTGAAAAAGGTAGAGAAGTTGTGGATGGGAGTCCCTGAGTGGATTTTACTTTGTGTCCTTTCCCTCGCAGCTGACGAAGACATCCCTGGCCATTCTGCAGCCAGTGGCCATCAGGGAGATCCTGGATGCAGAGTGGCAGCAGTGAATATGAGAAACAATCTTCATTGTGAGTAGAACAGCCCTACACCTCATCCTTTCCTTCTCCTCTCCATTACCTAGTCCATGAGCATGGTCAAATGCATGACACTCTTATGACATCTGAACTTCCTACAGTCCTTCAGTACCTGGTAGGGCCCAGCTGCTGTCCAGACATTCAGGGCTGAGATGATTCACAAGTTGGGATCAGTGTCTGCCACAGTTAGGCTGTGCAGAGAAAAGCAATGTGTAACATTTGTCAGTTGCTCCTCTAAGTGTTAACATCTAACACAGTGTCGTGGTTTGTAAAGGTTTCCTGAAAATGTTACCTGCCGAGATCTGGGCAGACTCCCTTGTACGTGACAAGGACCAATCAGCGTCGGATTTTTAATATTGACACATTGTTACACCAATGAGAAAGCTTGTGCATCTTTGTGAAACACGTCTGTAAAGACAAAAAACCTCGGGAAAGCTCTTTTTCCCTTCTGGTCTCTCACAAGGTAACACCGGCCAGGGCCCCCTCCATGCAGCCTGGGCCAGGCCGGGCAGGGGCGGGCGGACTCTGACGCAGGGCTCGGAAAGCCGCCGGGCCCGTTTTCAACCGGGGCCCTGATAGCCAGGGGGAGGAGAGGCCCATGGCTAAGATCCAGCCTCCCCCAGCGCTGTCAGGGAGCCCTGGCAGAACCCTGCCCTGCTGCCAGCCTGGAGCGGTGCCAGGTGGCCAGGCCTGCCCCGCTGCCCACACGGCCTGGGGAAGGACGGCTGGGCCCGGTTCTGAAGAGGCCTCCTCTCACCTTTCTCTGCAGGGAGGAGGAAAGACCCCCAGCCCGCGGCTGGAATCGAATGCAGCTGTGATAATTGATAAAAGATTCGTTTTAATCACAAAAGCATTGGGGTTTGTATAATACTAAGAATACTAAGCTCTGAAGTGAAGCATGGACACTAGATAAAGGAAATTATATGATAAAATCATTCTGTTTAAAAATCACCTTGTTATGTTATGTTGTATTATGTTACATTATATTATGTAATGTTATGTTTTCCAAATAAGTTGTATCAGCTACCAGCTTGCAAAATCAGACTTCCCAATAGCCCTTCCTGCTTTTTTCTGATCAATACTGCCTATCCCAAGGACCAGACTCCCAGAACTTCTCTGGTGGTTATCTACAAGGACCAGATGGCTATCTGTGACTGATTATTGCCCAGAGGCTTTGTGAATTTGTGTAAGGATGTTTATTCAACCACCACTGCTTACGACAACAAAAACCAAAAATTTTTGATTACAACGAGGAACCACAGTATAAGAAGAGGCTGCAAACCAAGGTTGGGTGGAGCATGGAGTGGGCGGTGACCCCTCACGTTCCCCAGCGTGCTGCTTGCTCTTTCTATATCAAATAAAGCAATCTAAATTTTGCTGAATATCGAGACTTTTATCTCTCATTTATAACACAGCAAACGCCAGTAAACAGCCATGGAGCCAGAAAACCCATCACCATTTTCTAGCTGGGCCCTACAATCCTAGCCAGCCCCAGTTTGGCATTGAAGGACTCTATTGGAAATAGCTCCGGCCGCCTCACCTGGAAGAAATCACAGGACCCTCTGCTGCCTGGGCAAGGTATTAACTTTTTCGTTGCCCAGAATAAGACTTTGCAGATACTTTGTTCTCTCTCCTGAGTGAAAGAAGAGGATCAAGATGATGATACACACAAAAACACCGAGGTCAGACAAAGGGACGAGTCAGGTCCCAGTTGAGGGAAGGAGGAGAGTCATGGACTGAAACTTCTCTTTTTTTATGTTATGGAGAAGAGACCCTTGTTTCCCTATAACACATAAAGAAATTATGGGGTTGATTGAATGTTCTAACTGTAGATATGAACAGAGGCATAGGTGTTAAAGTAAGCAGATGTTGAAATTGCTGTGATCTCCTAAGTTTGAATAATGAGAAGGCTTCTTCTGTTCCCCAGGGAAGAAGAAGAAGAAAAACCTCTGTTTTCAAAGATAAAGTGAGCTTTCATTTGAGCTGTTATAATCCTTAAAGTGTGCCTTATAAGTTGATATGGTACTCAATAATAATTATGGGAAAAATGTTAGTTGAGGAAGGGATTTTAACACAGTGATCAGATCTCCATTCCCCCGGGCGGGTGATGACTGTGACGTCAAGGCCATGAGAAACCTGCTTATTGTGGAGAAATCTCCATAGACTGAAGAGGGAAGTCTCCTCTCCCAAGTGAATTGGTGAAAAACTATTTTAGAGATGCTAAACTGACTGAGTTGTTTTCTGTACATTTTCAGTGTGAAAAAAAAGAAGGGGGGGAGGGGAAGGAAAAGTGGTCTAAAGTTTTATTCTGAGGTTTTTTGTTTTTTTTCTCATAGTTTCTAGTAATAAAGTTACTCTTTGTACCATTTAAAGTTGGGCCTGTTTTGCCTTCCTCCTAATCCTATCTCACAGCAGGAAAATTTCAAATTGGCAAACCAAATCACTACAATAAATTGGTGTTTCTGTCCGGTTTCGAACTGAAACCAGGACATACAGCTACAACTTCCCTTAAAATGCAATAGCACAGAACAAATTTCTTATGCGTGGGAGCACACAGTTACCTATAGGATGGGTTTTGCTGTGTGGCTGACTGGCCTACTCATATGTTCTGGCCAATACTTATCAAGAACCCGGTGCCATTGGTACATTAAGCCCTCTATTACTTGACCATGAGAGTTTGAAACATGAAAGAGAGAAGTGTTCAGCTTATCAGTTGACAGAGGATAGTGATCTTCAAATTACCCTATGTAATGAGAGTGAACTGGTTGCTGCTGCCATTTGAACACCTGGAGTCGGGGTAGCTGTGAACTATCACACCATAAAGAGAACTATGTGTGTTTTAGTTAAAGATATAAATTACACTTCACAAGTATTAATAGCCCTAAGTACAGAAATGACAGAAGCCAGAGAAGCTGCCCTTGAAAATCAAGCAGCAATTGACTACTTGGTGTTGAGACATAATCAGGGATGTGAAGAATTTAAAGGGATGTGTTGATTCAATCTTTCCAATAACTCCTGACTAACAGAAAAGAAAGCAACAACTAAAGAAACAGCCACAAGTGCTACAGAGACAGAAGTGCTACCGAACAAGTTCCATTTCATCAAGAAGTCTTTGCAGCAGGGGGGGAAGATGTTGGAAAATTCTTTTGACCTTAGCATATATTATATGATCCCTGTATTAATGGTCAATCCTTAGTTTTGTAGCAGACATTGCTTAGTACAAATACCAGTGATTCATGTGGCCTAATGCTTCCTCATTTACTTATATTGGAGATTAATATGTTTTAGCCAATATCTTAATTTTGAGTACAAGGTTTGTGTGTCAGAGAGAAGAATGATGGAGTAGTACTTTATGACCTGACCACATATTTGGGATAGTCTCACAGAGAAAAGATTCATCAGAAGATCTGGAACCATATCTGAATAAGCTGATGGAAATATTTAACCTATGTGCATGTATTCAAAAAGTGATGAATATATATTAGTTTTCAGATTATAACCTGGTCTGTTAGGTTACTGGGCATGTCAAGACGAGACATCCCCATGCATCCAACTCTGCTAATAAAGTAACGTCAGCTTTCTGATGCAGGAAATTGGTTGGAGAGTTTATTTCCCAGTTTTTGGTAACAATGGGGCTTTGAGCAGCCTGGGCTGCTGGAAGGTGTTCCTGCCCATGGCAGCAAGGTGGGACAAGATTGTCCTAAACTATGGAATGACTCTATGATCTGTGGCTGTTTATGGCAGACCCTGTCTTCACCAGGGAAAAATATGTGGGAAACACCACATATTTACTGCTGATTATCCTGTCTCTCTTTTGAGAGATAATATAAAAGCTATCAGAACCTTAAAAGGCATCTCTCACAGACATTCTTGAGCCTCCTGCTGGAAGAGTGAGAGATCAAAAAACTCAAAGATCATGAGAGTACAGCATTGCGATAAACTGCACATGCATGAGACGAGATACTAGGACAGTCAGTGACATGCCAGGATTGGACTGACCCTAATGGTGCTACTGTTCCCATTTTATGTGTCTCTACAGCCTGGCAGTGCCTTGGGGACCCTTGAATTAAAGAAGTAATGAAATAAAACTACTCTTTGCATTTCAGCTGTGGTTTGGTGATTTGGATGCATCAATTCACACACCAACCCACTCCTGCTACCCTTTGTATCCTCGGTGTTCCTAATGGCCATTAACAGTGCAGTATGCAGGCATGTTTTGCTCAGCTCCAAGGCAAAAAGGGCACAAAATAAAATTCACTGCAGGGACTCCTGCCCTCTCATTCGCATTTTATCCTGAGCAGATGGAAAAAGGTGCCATGGAAAGAAAGAGAACTTGGAGGCCAAGGCTTGGTTGTGCAATAAATTTAATGAATCAAAAGAAGAAAAGGAAGTGGCTTACAAAGAGCACCAGGAGCAGCCAAAAAAGATGCAGTGGAGCTTCTGTGGGGTGTCCATCTGCCTGCCCTAAAAAGGGAGACAGGACAACATGACTCCACTAGGGGCAATATGGGCACTGAAGAAAAGAAAGAGAAAAGTAAAAGAAGTGAACAATGCCATGAAACTGCAAAGAAAATATCCCAGAGCTCTATCTCCTGGCCAGAGCCAGGTCCTGAGATCATGGAGGTTTTTTCCCAAGGCTGTTGCCAGGAGAATTAGCAGGGACGGCATCTGCTGCCACCATAGCAGTTGGTGATGCAGGAGAGGTCAAAGCCCCC